TGCTCTCTAGATAACGTTGATAAGCAACCAAAACAACATACCAACAGTACTACTGGCTTAAACAAAACGGCAGATCAACTTCATTTCAAACCGTTATGGACAGATTACCACAGTAGATAGTAACGTATGTAAATGTAGACCGCATATGGCACTTCAGCTTTTGCTGGAGCGGGAATTTTCCGGCCCAATGAAGTTGTTGTTCGAATGCCTATATATTCATCCAAACAATATGATGATGTATGACACGACTGCACTGCTGATACTGAAACACTACCATGGAGATGTATCTGAGATCTGACCTTCTAAGTAGTCCCTCGAGCATCCTGAAGCAACTAGAGGGTGCAACGGTGCCATGCAAATCCGGTTAAGGAATAGGATATTGTTCATAGCGATGGAATCAAAATCTGCTGCTATACTTTTCAGTCGTGCCAGAATAACAAAGATGTTCAGCAACAATATATTAATCTCTTATCGAAAAAATATACTGTCCAAGGGGTTGAACAAGGGGTTTCAAAATTGCGTAACGAAAATCGTGTCATGGGCGCTGCCCACTCTCAAGTTAAAGCTTTCAAACTTGCACTTACCTGGCTTGTTGTTATATTGGAGAAACTGTAAGTCTGTACTGCATATTTTGTATATCAAACATATCTTTTTAGGATCAGAGACGAACGTCAATCCGCATCAACTTTCTGCTATAATAATTGGCGTTTGCTATTGCCAGTTTTTGGCAAGTCCTCATATTCTGCGTTATGAACACCAACATCCTAACAGTCACAAACGTTTAGACCAACTGGTCCAGTCAACAGAACGTTGGATTCGAACTCCCGCCAGGTCACTCGTCATTCTTTCTTCCGAGATTGATAAATAAATACCACAGTGTAAAACGGAAAAGGAAGACAACATCTTCTGCCTGCCACACAGCAGTACGCTCTGCCTCTGCCTTTAAAATAAAGTACTCATTGCTGATGGTGCAAAAAATGGCCCACCATCACGAAAGTGCACAAGTAACCAACATTATTCAGCGTTGCTTTAGTCGCTACTCTGATTGCTGTTTACCTTGAAACGTAAGTTGGAAAAATATTTTTAAGAAATCTGCATTTAGATATACGGCTATGTACAAAAACAAATGTGCAAAGCACCCTCTAACCTCAAGCCGACCAAAGGCTGCAGCACATATAGATTTGGAACGTGAGGTGCCACCATATTTAATCAGAAACAGCTCCACGCCACTGCCTTAAAAGCAAAATGTAGTTTATCAAGTATCAACAGCAAAACACGTTGTTTACCATCCGCAACAGTGATAACATACGTGCAGTCATAACTGTGACTGCTCAGTAACGGATACTGGGGAGAAGACAATGATCCGGATATGTCGGTTAAATGACCACCGCATCCTACGATTGAAATGATACAGACGAAATAAATTTATTACAGCTCATTAGCAATTTTCTTGCATGACATTCATGTAATGGACATGTAGCTAAATGTATGCAATAATCCTACAGAGATATGGGTCTCCAAGATCATATGTTCAGTAGTTATGTAATAAGAACTGAGACAGGTATGCAGGCATGTGTTTTGAGAAGTACGTAGTACGACAAAAATCACCCAAGAGCTTAGAAACCTAACCATACGTTCCCTTACGTTGGAGACCACCTTAATGAATTTGTTCTGTACACCTGTTGATCTAAGAAACTGTTTCTTTTAGCTACTTTCTCGTTTAGTCGAGTTTTAATTATATGAATTAACACATTTCTCTCTTCCCATTCAGTCATCTTTCCCTTCCTTCCTTCCCTCCTCTCCTTATGGCGTCCTTGCTTTTTTCTGGAATCCTACACTCCATCGCACGACAAGAAATTTTTGCAAAAGTCTATTTTACGTACCTTCAGCCAGTTCTTCATACTTTAATGAAAAGCGGATTGGGGACGAAAGAACTTCACGAAGAGTCTTCAACCGCAAATACAACATATTTCCATGGCTTAACAAATAATTTGGTTTTGAACTGTCACAAATCCGAGATTCTTCTAAACCGGGAAATTTTGGCGAATCATCGTTTGGCCCATTGCTGAAAGGCAAATCATAGACGTTTTACATGAATGCATACAATTTATGTAAATAAATTTGAATTAATTGGAATTCTCAACTTCATTTTACCATGATACACTGCATAAAAGGTTGGCTCCAGACGTGCCGAGTTCGATTCATGAGGATAGAAATAACAAATGTCTTAACTACAAATTCCCTTGCGGAAGAAATTTACTGCAAGTTGCTTCAGACCTGATTTATTCGGCCGGTAGTGCATCAGATTCAGTATCGCGAGGTCACTGGTTTAGGCCCCGGCCAGAGTCATGCGCCTTCCTTTCTTCCCAACTGGGCAAATGAGTGTCACTCTGATAAATGTGTCGTTAACAGGAGAATACAGACTATGTTAGTCACATAGCAGCTGTAGATTCTGGCTTGCAAAAATAAGATACTCTTGACTGATGGCATGGAATTAGAAATCAGCACTTCCACCGATAAATTTGTGAAAATGGGGTGCTAGACTGACTTCATCATGTAAGATGGATATGTGTCGATTTTCCTTTTTCTTCCCTTTGCCACTGTAGAAAGCATCATGGACTAAAGTGTTTCAGCAAGGTACACTTGCAGGACGCTTGCAGACAGTCGACGGGCAGAAGATATGAAAAGACGCTGTGAGCTGGCATTAGGCAGCTACTAACGAGTTAAGTGCACTCTGTCGATCACTGTACCTGCAAATACAGACCTTGCATCATGAACATTTTTCTCTGTAGCCTGGAGAGCACCTAACTGAAATGATTAGGAAAGGCTAGGAGCGACGAAAGTGAAGATTTCAGGATTAACATGAGGGGTGAAGTAGTACAACCTCATGTCAAAAGTAGTCACACGAAAAAGAACACTATATGGAACCAAAGCAGCTGATTGGCTGCAGACATGGCGCTTACAGTAAAACAGTTAGTTCCCGCGAATGGACGAAAGCGGCGCTACGAAGTGAATGCCGAACTCAAAGCAGCATAGCAAGCAGTCGACAAGACGACCTTCAAAAAGGTAACAAACTCTCGGTAGAACTGAAATGTCACCGAAACAACTAAAGGGGTGCAAGCATGTATTCGTTCGATCAAGGTTTAATATCATTATTTGACCCTGTCCCATTCTGATGCATCAGTTCTGTCAATCCAAAATATTCAATTATCCTAGTTCCGTAGATTCAAAAGT